GCCCCCCACACCACGGGGTCCTGTTCAACCACCCCTCCACCGTCTACTGTTCATCCAGCCCTCCACACCACGGGGTCCTGTTCATCCACCCCTCCACGAGCATCCCTCCACCATCTACTGTTTATCCAGCCCTCCACCACACCATGGGGTCCTGTTCATCCAGAGGCAAAGCCACCGCTCACTGTTCATCCAAACCCCCCTGCAACACTCACTGTTCATCCCATCGATCGGCTTCAGTTAGCAGGAGTAGCAAAGGAATCACTCTATCGGGTTCAGTTAACAGCCATCGATCGATCGCTCGGGTTCAGTAACGTGTAGCCTGCAGTGCAATAGCTCGGGTTCAGTTAGAGCCCAACGCCTCGCTCGGGTTCAGTTAGAGCCAACGCCTCGCACACACGCGCGTACATGTACGAGAGAAACGTGCATCGCTCGGCCCCGACCTCCCACCATAACCGGGAACTCCCCGAAATTTTCCTCGCCCTCACTTCTACCATGGTTTTTTCCGTCATGGACGGCCCAAAGAATGTCATGCAGCTGCGTCTCCGGCCCGCACAGGACGAAAATCCCATTTTCTATCATGATTTTTTGTCATAGAAGTAGGAGCCCACCACATCTATGATGATACCGGGTTTTGTCACAATTATTGTCATAGAAGTGTCATATGTATGACAGAAAAAATTTCGTTCGACCCAAAATGTCACGGATGTGTCTTTTTTTTGTAGTGACAACGTATGTTCTATGTCCTAAGACCTGAGATGATGCATGTACTCAGGATGGTGACATACTTGCTTTGGGCCGACCAAACGCTACTCCTTAACTGGGTAGTTATCTCTACTCATAATGTCTCAGTTGGTAGGTCGCGTTCCGGGTTTTATTTTCGTCCCACCTCACCCGGTCTTTTTTGGTACTTCTTTGGTACTTGCTCCCACCTCCCGCTCAGCCGAGACGGTTTATTTTCGTAGTCCCTCCCACCTTCCAGGTAGTTCCCTCCATGCAAAAAAAATCGAACCAACCAATCTCTACTCCTAATGAAGCAGTTGGTAGCCTCGTACGGTTTATTTTCGTCCCACCTACCATGATTTTATTTGGTACCTGCTCCCACCTCCCAATTTTGTCGGTTTTTTTCGTTGGTTTTTTATTTTTCCCCCTCCCACTGGCCGGACAAACCCAACGTTTATTTGGTAACACAATGAATTCACATATGGTGATTGATTTCTTCTTTGGTAACCCAACTAACGGATGGTAATCAATCTTCAAATATCAAAACCAAACATACAAGGAAACAATTAATTCATTTTTTTGACCGGTTATTTTTCGTCTCCCCTCCCACATACCTTTCCGCTTCACCACCCACATAAACCCATCGGATTAGTTACCATATAAAAGAATTAATCACAATCAATCAAGCATTGATGGGATATTTCCTTACATTGATGTGATTTTCATTTCTTATCATGAATCATACACGTCAAAAAAGGTACAGTGTGCGAGTATCGTGGGCACATGCCCTACAAATCCGAAAATGCCTACAAAAATTAAATCAGAATCAATCAAGCATTGCTGGTATATTTTACTTGTTTTGATGGGATTTTTGTACACGGTACCATTAACTCGATCCTCCCACCGTTGCCCTCCTCACGAGCCTGGACGGCCGATCCTCTCGACGTCTACCCTCATGTGTCCTCGCGCCGCCATCATCTTCTTCTCTCCGATCTCCTTGACTAGGAGGACTCCTCTGTGCCCCAGGCCCTGGCCGACGTCGGCGACTCCTCGGTACTCCACCCGCGCCATCACATCCGACGCAGGCGAAACTCTAGCTGATGCCACGGGATCCACATCCTATGCTCTTCGGCCATCTTCCACTCCGGCTGCTGCGTGGTGCCTCTGCTGCGGGAGGCAACCTGGCAGGGGCAGACGTAGCCGTCCTCGTGCAGCCCGACCCATGCGTCTAGCTCAGCGGTGAAGTAGCCTCGGCCTCTGAAAGGCAGCATCCACTCCCCGTGGTGCCTCCACTTGCAGCTCCTGGTGTCGACGGAGTACGTGCCGCAGACTGCCCTGCTCCACGAGGACACGAATATGGTGCGCCCGTCCGGGTGCAGCGCGTAGGAGAAGATCATCTCGTCCTTGGTGAAGGGCGTCGGCATGCTTTTCCAGGACCAGTAGGTGGGCAGCAGGTCGTCGTCTTCCATCGTTGGTGGCTTCGCCATCGCCTCAAAGGACACAGGCCGCTCCATGAAGTGGAAGGCGAACGCGTACAGCGCGTCGCCGGCGCCTGAGGTCAGGAAGGTGTTGGAGCCACAAAGCAGTGCGTCTCGAACGGGAGGGCCGACGGGCAGTCCGGCGGTGTCAGTGTCGTAGAAGAGGGTTCCCGCGTGTATGTTGCTCATGGCGATGATGTTGCTGCCCAGGGCTGCGAACTACATGGCACGACCACGCTCAGGTGACACTAGCCGGAGGACAGGGGGGCGCTGAGGTCAGGACTATCGGCATCGATCTTGCGGATGGTGAAGCCCTTGTGCCAGTCGTCTAGAACCAGATAGAGGCTCTTATCCTTGTTGCCGCTGCGGTTGTGGTAGTAGTTGGGCTCATCCTCCTCACCCTTCCTTCTTTGCTTAGACATCCCGCCCCCGGCTGACTGAATTCTGAAGTATATACCAGAAAAACACGTACGCAGACGAAAACACTCGAATAGATTGGACGTAGCTGGCTAACCACGGTTGATGTAGTATCGATCTACTAGAAGTAACACGGATATGCGCAAGCAATTGATACACACGGGCATGCCTCGTGCCCGCTGATCTTTCTATTGGTCTCTGGGTGTACTGTTTATAGGGGTGCAGGGTAATACGTATATATAGCTGCTAGGACTTGCAACATAACCGATTCAGGACGGAACTACTGATCCTACTTGGTGATGGATTCCTGCACAAGCCGGACATGAGACGTGCTTTTTTTCTTGAGGGAAACGCCGCCACCGCCGCCGCCACCGCGGAACCCTAGGGCAGGGCGCTAGGATCCCCAAAGCAGGGCGGGCAGCGAGGAGCGGCGCAAGGACGCCGTGTCGGTCGTTCCCGCCACCAGTGCTAAACCCCAGGTATTTACGTTCCATGTCCTCCCTGCACTCTATGCTGATACATCAGCGAGGAGCTGACGGTGGAAATGCTACTCCTCCCCGAACTCTATGATGCTTGATTCGATCTCGTGGAATGGAGCCATGATGGTGGGCAAGGCTATTGAGTTTGCTCCTAACGCCGGCTTGGGCGATGGGTGGGACGAATGCGAGCAGCGGCCAACGGCGGACATGGACTCAAGCCAGCACAGGTCCACGGCGGTAGAGGAGAGACACCACCCACCACCCATTGATGCAGTGAGGAGTGTGGTGTTCTACATATGGTAATTAGTAAAAGTTTTTGGTCCTATAATATCAGAGAGAGAGAGAGCATATTACATAAAAATAACATTGAGAATTTAGATGCATTGTTTGTCACGAAGCTGTGACTGCCAATTTACATGAAATTAATTCCCTTAGTTGTGGTGGCAAATATAATACACCTAATCCATATTGTTATGCACTAGCGTGTGTGTGTGTGAGATAGATGGATTATGGTCTCATACCCAATAAGATGGATATGTGCGTGTGTTAGAGAGAGAGAGAGAGGGGGAGAGGGGGAGAGACAATGAAGAAGAGGGACGGAAAGAGTGTGTGTGTGAGGATTTGATGGTAAAAAAGGTCACCAATGTCACTTGATATGTATGAGAATATTAAATGTAATATTAACATGATTAATATTAAACTCTTAAAGTTATAGAAATGTTACCCGTTGCAATGCACGGGCGTTCTTCTAGTAAAGGTAGGTTTCGGGTTTGTCCAGAACCATGCTGCGAGACGTGGTCGAGTAAGATGGGATTTGCCCCTCCGACCAGGAGAGATATACTCTGGGCCCCTCATGTGATCCGACCAGGATAAGCATGGCCATGCGACAAGGATTATGAGATAATCCGGTCGGGCTAGCGCAAGGACAACAGACTCGCCTTGAGCTCGACAACATATATCGTGTGGTAAAAGGAATGGAAGTGTGATGTACAGGTTCGCTAACCAGCTTCATAGTCTGCTTGGTGTTCGGCATGCCTTGCTAGAGGCCGCTACCAACCGGGCAGTTCGGAGGTGATCCGAACTGCGACCAAGCCGACTTGAACCTAAGGGGTCGCGCGCTTAAGGGAATGAACCTACGAGGTCGGATCCGAGGACACTGGTCGGATGTGATCCGAACTATATTCGGATTGTGGCCGAGTAGACTTATGGGCTTTAGGGTCCGTGCGAGGCCCAAGTGTTGAGCCCGTGACGGACGCCTATATATATAGTGGAGGTGCCGCACACTCACGCGGTTGATCGCTTCGGTGCTGTCACTAGGGTTTGACACCTCCACTCGCCGCCGGTTGTGTGATCGGACCTAGTAGTCCGCTGCACGACGTTCCTCCTGCACGTGCGGATACCGTTAGAGGCGGTGCTCTTGCGCCGCTCAGGTGAACCTGTACATGGGAACCGACCACTGTTGTATGAGAGAGATCGGACGAGGAGAAGAAGATCCATGCGGACGCGCTGCCCCAACTCTTCTTTCGCTGCACGGCACTGCGCGTCTAGTGGTAACGAACTGTGATCCATCTCCCGTAGCATGTTCTTGGTTGTTCTGTGCGTAGGAAATTTTAATTTGCAGTCAACGCACCCTACCGTAGATCCCAACAGTGGTATCAGAGCCTCTTCTATAGGATTTGGATTCAGATCGTATGCATATTAGATATGTGGAGGCAATAGATGAAATCTGTTGTCATTGATAAGATTGGTTGTGTGCACGGTTGATGAGATCAACTGCACATGGGGATCGATGTGGCTATGTTTTCTGTTGATTGGGGTCGATGAGGTCGTGACACGATCTACCCCTACCGGTCGGTTATCCTCCATTGGGGTTAACAGTGAAACGTAAATCCGAATCGGATTCGCGATGATCGATGAGATCGGTCAGATGAGAGAATTTGGCGTGATCGGAACGCCGTGTGCGTAGTGCCTTGTATTTCGTACACAATCACTCAAACCGGTAGAATGCGATTCTATGCATAACTTTATTTTGCAGGGTTTGATGTGAATAGTATGGCTCATGTGTATGTGATGCATGTGTGTAAATCATACATGGCCTGCGTGTCATGTTTGGCAGCCGGCAGGAGCCAAAGTGTTGTCATTATATTGTATAACGACCTGCGTGTCGACTTGTGATTCTATGTAAAATTCATTACTAGTTGTAGTAGTTGGATAATAGAGACCAGGTTGGTGGCTTGGCGTCCCGGTGTGACAAACAAGATGGAGTTTCTAGATGGTCATCGGAGTTGGAGCCGACCTGGAAGAACATCCATGAAGGAGCCATACTATTTCATAATATGTGTTTATTTGTGATTGTTATGCTTCCTTGTTTTCTATGCATGTTAGAATGGTAGAAAGATCCCTCATGAATATCAAGCGAATTGCCATCCCCGATGTTGCACCTTCACATGTCAAGTACGTCTAGTAGTGGGCTCATAAAATTGGGGTGCTGCTAGGTATCCTTGAACTGAAGGGTTCGTGTCGGACACGGACATGCACTGCATAAGGTTGACTAGACAAGGCTATCAAAATGGTTTTGGGCCTTGTGGCAAAAGAGGTCGGAAGCCGGGGTATGAGATACCTACCCGACCGACAAGAGTCGTATAGATATACGATTAGCAAGGAGTTGCTTACCGGATAGGCATGTTGTCTAGCGGTGATGCTAAAGCTCACTAGTCGCATGTGCTAGTCGGATTCTGAATCACTGAGAGTTTGCGGAGGGATGCTGATTTCAGTGGGAGTATTTCTCTTTAAGGCTAGAATTACTCTACATAAACACATTTCTTAGTGATTGCATATTTTTCTGTTGTAGATCAATGGCACCACCTGCTCAACCCAACTTTGCATTAAAATCAATTCTGGAAAAGGATAAACTGAATGGAACAAACTTTACTACCTAGTATAGAAATTTGAGAATTGTTCTCAAGCATGATAAAAAGGAACATGTTCTAGAGGGTCCGCTTCCAGAGGAACCTGCCGATAATGCTACCACAACCAAGAATGCCTACCAGAAACACATTGATGAATCAAACGAGAACAGCTGCCTCATGCTGGCTTGTATGGAGCCCGATTTGCAGCAGCATTTCAAAAACGTTGGGGCTTTTGATATGATCGAGAGTCTCAAGAGCATGTTTCAGGTGCAGGCTAGGACCGAAAGGTTCAACGTCAGGCGATCCTTGATGGATTGTATGTTGAAGGAAGGTGATCCACTGAGCCCGCATGTGATCAAGATGATCGGATATGTGCAAGCTTTGGATCGGTTGGGCTTCCCGCTCTTGGATGAGCTGGCTACTGATGCAGTTCTGGGTTCTCTTCTACCCAGCTATGGGACGTTCATCTCGAACTATCATATGCATGGCATGGATAAGAAGCTCACTGAATTGCATGGGATGCTCAAAGTGGCAGAGCAGGATATAAAGAAAGGCACACATCAAGTGTTGATGGTGCAGAAATCGGCTAAGTTCAAGAAGAGTTGGTCTGAGAAGAAGGCTAAGGCAAAGGGCATGGAGATGGTAACCCTCGCCGCTGCACCGAAGTCTGGACCGGACTCAAAGACCATTTGCTATCATTGCAAAGAAACTGGTCACTGGAAGAGGAACGGTAGCAAGTGGCTTGCAGAGCATGGCAAGAAGGCCGGGAATGCTGCTTCAGGCAAAGGTTCACTTGTCACATATGTTATAGACGTTTGCCTTGCTGACATACCTAGTAGCTCTTGGGTATTTGATACCGGATCGGTTGTTCATATTTGCAACTCGATGTAGGGGCTAGTAAGAACTAGGCATGTGGCACAAGGGGAGATTGACATCAGGGTCAGCAACAAAGTAAGAGTTGCTGCGTTGGAGGTCGGCACGATGCAGCTCCAGCTTCCTTCTAGATTTATTTTGGAATTGAATAATTGTTATTACATTCCTGCACTTAGTCGGAACATTATTTCTGCCTCATGCTTCGTGAGTCAGGGTTATGAATTCAATTTAAAGGACAATGGTTGTTCAATTTATTTGAATGGTATGTTCCATGGCTATGCACCCATTTTTGATGGGTTATTTATATTGAATCTAGAACATGAACCGGTCTATGATGTGAATGTCAAGAGGCATAAGCCCAATGAGATAAATCTGACATACTTCTGGCATTGCCGGCTTGGACACATTAGTCTGAAACGCATGAAGAAGCTCCATGATGATGGGCTCCTAACTTCGACCTACTTTGGGTCGTTCGAGACATGTGAATCATGCTTGCTCGACAAGATGACTAAGTCTCCTTTTGCAAAGAGTTGTGAGAGGGCATCTGAGCTGTTGGAACTGATACACAGTGATATGTGTGGACCAATGAGCACAACTACCAGAGGTGGCTATTAGTACTTTGTGACTTTTACCGACGACTTGAGTAGATACGGATATATCTATTTGATGAGGCACAAGTCAGAGACTTTTGAAAAGTTCAAAGAGTTTCAAAACAAGGTGGAGAATCAGCTCGGCAAGACTATA